CCTAACATAACATGAATTCGTGAGATCTGAGATTCTCACAGCAATTATGAACATTATTGTCTTCTAAGATATTACACCGTATAGTCTGGTAGGTATTTATAGACGTATTTTCCTCGGTCGTGAAGCGGCAGGCTCGGTCACGGTAGCAGAGTGGGCTAAGACATGTACCGCCTTCGCTTGCTCGGAAGCCAGGATCGTGGGTTCGAATCCCACATAAGGCATTGATGTTTGTGTGTGCGTTTATTCTGTGTTGTGTTGTTCTGTGTGTAAGTAGCGGCTTTGAGACGGGCTGATCCCCCATCTAAGGAGTCCTACCGACCGTGTATAGGATTAAGAAACTGAAAAAGCGGCCAAGGTTCACAACGGCTTTGGAGCCATGGATGGATGGATGGATGGATATAGATAGCTGTGTTGAAAGAAAGACATACACCGTGTAGACAAAACAGAAAGATTTTTTTATGTTAAAGCAAGTGGTATATATAGTTTACCACTATATTTAAAGGACTGACGATGGTGCAGTATGTATCCTTACAACACGTGATCACTTGGTGCTCTCCCGAAAATGGAGAACCTACTTTGAATTTTATATTGTTTCCACCTCATAAATTCCCACGGCCGCCATGTTATTGTTGTCCGTGCTGGTGGTGCTCTCAGAAGTGTAAAGAAAACACATTTAAAGAGGTGATCATTAGCATGACATTATAACGAGTACTATCCGAAGACTGTACACAGATGTTTACATTCTTTCCTGTCAGACGTACAGATATTCCTGGATCGATTGTTAACAGTTCACAAGAACTAACACTGATCCCTCGGAACACTGTAAGTTTGCTCAAAGGCTAACCTGCCACATCCATCTTGACATGAAGCAGAAGAGTGAGGACCCCGAGGCTAGTACTAAACATGTGACTCAATTTATGTTACGCTTAAAGTCTAGGAGAGGCTAGCTGGCATTGCATAACGGCAGTGCTCTCATGTGTCATAGCGTGACATGTTTGTGGAGGCTGCTTGGAAGTGACGTGACGGCCAGTGACAAATCGCAAATTGCTTGCAAGGAGCAGGAAGCTCATCCAAATACAGTGGAACTAATTGCAAATTCCGGTACCTTCTTGCAGGAAAACACTAAGCATATTCGTTATAAATATCAGTCATTTAATGTTCAGGAGAATAATCCCTGTGACATGAATGAATTGTGTGGGCTAATTGATTTGTTACTGAACGTTCAACCATATTATTGTCGCTATACTTCAACCCTTTACTCTTCGCCAACATAATTGTAACGATCAAGCCAAGGAGAATGACATGGGCAGGACATGCAGCACGAATGTGTGAGAAGAGGAATGCACGTAGGATATTGGTGGAAAAAACTGAAGGAAAGAAGCCACTAGGAAGACAAAGACGTAAGTGGGCGGATAATATTAAAATGTGTCCATAAAATGCTGGGAAGTTCTTGAGTAGCTACACAATTGGAAGCTTTTCAAGAAGAGCTCAGCTCCATGAGTGAGTGAGTTAGAGAGGTAGGATGGGGTGGTATGAGCTGGAATGATCTGGCTTAGGATAAGGACTAGTAGAGGGCTCTTTTGAACATGGTACTGAACCTTCATGCCCATAAAATTTTGGGAAATTCTTGAGGAGCTACACAACTGGAGGCTTCTCAAGAAGGGCTCAGCTCCATGGAGTTAGTTGCATTTCAACCTTTCAAAATACAATGGTAACTAAATTTATCACCTCTATTAGCACTGAAACAGTTTTATTTTTGCACACATGGTGTCAATTTGTGTCATATGATTCTTACAATAAACAACATTGAATTCCCTAAGAAACATTAACCGGTTGGTATTTTCAATAGAGACACTGTGTTCTCTGTGAGGTAAGAGCTGATTTTTTTTAAGTATTATTTAGATGAACTTCATAATTCACGAGGTTAAGGAAACACCAAAACTCTTTGAGGACGATCTGTGGACTGGTGGTCGAACCTTCAGTTCCTCAAGCCACAAAGAGTTTTACATTACCAAAAGACAAATTCACTTTTATCTCTGCTGTTTGCACGATATTCACTAAATGGATTCGCAGTTTGGGGGGGGGGGTTACATTCATTTCTATATCTCGTCTTAAAATTTACTCGACGAAATTAGTTGGACTTTATACAGCAAATAAGATATAAAATTTGTGACGATGTTACATTAGTACAAGTATTATGTTTCTGGACATTATCCATTGTCCTGTCGTTATCTGAATCACCGTTCTCTTTATATTACAAAACACAACGTTTCGGAGACCTGATTCTGTCTCCGTCTTCAGGTAAAACATACTCAATTGGGCTCAATCTAGAGCCAGTCCCTATCTCCGAGAAGAGACAGAACCCAGTCTCCGGAAAGTTGTGTTTTGTAATATAAAGAGAACGGTGATTCAGATGACGACAGGATGAAAGACTATGCCCAGAAACACAATATTTGTACTTTATATCATCAAATAGCAGACGAAGGTCACTAATGAACCAAATAAGTATGTCAAACATAAAAAAGAATTATGCTAATTCAAAGCCATTTAGTACCGTTCATTTGAGAAAAGACGTGTGCGAAAAGCATCGTCACTGCTTCTGTAGTCACAATTGCTGCATTGAAGTCAGTGAAAATGACAGTATCCTTCAACCTTTTCATTTGTTCCAGTTCTATTGCAACAACCCTCCTCTAAACAAGTCTACGAATTTGCACTGCTGCAGAGATTATCAAAACAGAACTGGAATGGGGAATACTTCACATCTGCACTGAAATCATCAATAATTTTTACGAGGGGAAAAGTTGCCTTTCAAAAATTCTTGTCGTAATCTTAATTCAAGCGGGTTCTTTGTCTTTGGTGGGCACCGGAGTTTAACAAGTAATTATTTGGAGTGTCTGCAGAGGTTTCCATTTGGTATGAAAATACAATAGGCACAAGAATATCAGAAGTGAAGAAATGCAGTGAAAATAAGCACTAAAACAAGTTGAAACACCGAAATATTTAAAAGCAATTGTAAACCAGACGGAGTGTAGTCCCTGGTCCTTCAGTTTGGGGGTTGGGCTTGGGGCTGACGATCCCACACCAACAATTTACTGTTACGAAGCCATAGAGGCGGCCAAGACCCACACACGGTTGCAGCGCCAGTAAAGAAGAAGAAGAAGAAGTTATAAGAGACCACGATGCTCTGAGCGTATTTTCGGGAACTGCTCAGTTGAAATCTTGGTCACGATACCAGGGATCCTGACTGAAGTTTTCCGTGGCTTTCCTAAATCCCTCCAGTCCAATGCCAGGACAGTATCTTGACTGGACCACGACCGTTATCTTCCAAATCCTTTGCAATTCATCAACCATCCTATCCGTCTCTATACAGTCTGGAGTTGCTAGGTTCAAATCTTCTCCTCGACAACAGATATCCTGAGATATTTCGTGGATTTCCTCAGTACCTTGGTGAAGCCACGACCTCTTTCCAAATCCCAGATTTTTCTGCCATCCTACCATCAGACGCTATATAGTCTGACAGGGTTGTTGAATATCCCAGAAGCCCTCATGAAGTAGACGACTAGTAAGAAGACCAAACCAGAGACCTCGTCACACCACTAGACATAGGAGGATGGACGCTCCATAGAGTCTGCTGCGGCTATTGTAATGTAGTTCATGCAGGAAGTGTTACCAGATGCTTGTCCCAAAGTGAAGGGCACACAAGTGCCTTACATTAATGGATGATCCTCTCTGTGTGTGAAGAAACGAGAAAGGTTCAGTTGGTATGTGGAGCATTATGAGGGGCACTGCGTCCCTCTTACTGAGGGGGTCAGTGTCATGGAAACGTGCAAGCTCCAGTTGCCTTGCCTTATCTTGCATCAGAAGGTAGACTTAGGATATCATCACGCCCGTGTAATTAGCTTTTATCATGACACTGGTTCAACTGAAATATTTCATAGCACTGAATGATATGGGAAGATGATGATAATTATTGATTAGGTTAATTAATGACGTTAGTTAACTAAATAGGTTGTATATATGACGATCACAATGACTGCGCAGTCTAAGGCATGAACTGTCTTCGCTCGCTCGGACACTGGGATCGTCGGTTCGAATACCACTCGAGGCATCGATGTCTGTGTGCGTTTATTCTGTTTGTGCTGTCCTGCGTGTAGCCACAGGCTGATTCTCCCCGGCTAAGGAGTCTAACCGCCTTTGTAAAAAGATCAAGAAACTGAAAAAGTGGCATAGAACCAACAAACGGATATAGAGCGATAGATAAATAGATAGATACGCCGCGCCATAGCTCAAGCGGTTAGTCGCTGGCTTCCCACCATGGCGACCTGGGTTCGATCCCGGGTCTGGTCAAGTGGGATTTGTGGTGGACAACTTGGCACTGGGACAGGTTTTCTCCGAGTACTTCGGTTTCCCCTGCCAATCTTTATTCCACGAATTGCTCCACAATCACCCTCACCTATCATTTGGGGCTGGTACAATAGGCCTGAAGTAGCCACAGTACAAGGGACTTAGTCCCACTCCACTAGCATTAGATAGATAGACAGACAGACAGACAGACAGACAGACAGACAGACAGACAGACAGACAGACAGACAGACAGACAGATAGATAGATAGATAGATAGATAGATAGATAGATAGATAGATAGATAGATAGATAGATAGATAGATAGATAGATAGATAGATAGATAGATAGATAGATAGATAGATAGATAGATAGATAGATAGATAGATAGATAGATAGATAGATAGATAGATAGGTTATACTATATACTCATATATATTTCGATGAAATGTGGAAATGATCATAAAAGCTGACTGGGTTATTTAATGAACATATTTATAGAAAATATGATATTATTTTCGGAAGGAATTATAAGAGATCATGAATGTTGATTAATGACACTGTATCAAGTACTTAGTTTAAAAAACGTTAAGATTATAATAGAAGAAAATAATGAATGTTGGTTCTTTTATTTGATGATACTGTTTCAAATGCGTAGGTTACAAATGTTCGGCTGATGGGAGAAGATGAAAAGGAACTTTCATTAGGTTTTCTTATTATGGAGTTCGAGCTGTTGCTGATGGATAGAGGATGGAAGGTGAGCATGAACGAGCAACTGGGAACTGTGTGAGTACATTTTACACTGATATCTATGAGACAAAACCGAGCTCGTCCGTATGATTCATGTACGAAATTTCTGAACGAATTTTTACGGGCTTTTGCATTTTAAATATATATTACAAATTTTGAGAGCAGTTTTATTTTGCTTTTTATTATTTCAGTATGGCCCCTAATTTATATGAAATTTAAATGTAACTTTGTCGGGTTTCTCGAGAATATCCATCGTATGTGATGGATGATTGAAGTGTACAGTCTCCATTTGGTACATTTTCTATATGGCGAACCAAACAGGACAGAGTTTTTCGCTTTGTTGTTACGTCATGTTCGTGGATTCCAAATGCGAAAGTAATCTCAGTTACTTATGAGAGAATCAGAAGATGGCAACAAGAAATGGAAGTGTTGGTGTTACTTGTCAACCGTTGCCAAAAAAGGCCTCTCGATTGTCATTATTATTGTGTTTCGAAGTACTCCCAGTAGAGGGGAAGTGACCAGTAGTAATCAGACCCCTCCTCTCTTTGAAGAGGAAATTCCATTTTAAAAACATGTAAAAACCTTGGAGAGAACAAAAATATGGTCGTGGGTACTCACGGGACCAAAAGACAAGATTGATTGTGCTGGTGAGGGTCAGACGCAACTTACACGACCGATCGGCCTGTCTTTCCAGGACATAACATGCAAATTTGATGCAACAGTGATTGCTAAATATAGAGGCATAAGGTGAAATAATGGCTCAGTGGAAGAATTGCATATGTAAACTGCAGCTAGAAGCGGGAATTGTCTGTCTTCCAGTGGAATATTCGACAGAGTTTCCATTAATTTAACTATCTAAGCATAAACGCAAAAGAATTTATTACCTTATGCGGTATAACACATTCAATGTTAATAGTTCCTCAAGAATAAATTTGTACCTGTAAGTATAATGAGATTTTGAGTTTTTTCAAGGCATGATTTCTTAGAAGTAAGAGATTCCACCGAGATATTTGTAACAACCAGACTACACGGTATCATAACCCAAAAGGCTTAGATGTAGAAATTACAATAAAAAAGGTAAAGTTATCCCTGTAACAGGCCGTGGAGGCCCATAGAGTTGTGAGAGGTTGAGGCTCCCACATTTTCTAGACAGACGGCTCATAGATGATGGTAAGTTTTGACAGCCTTACGTACCTACTGCTCTTTACCCCCCTGGAAGATTCCTGGTACTCATTTCTGTCAGTGGCTGAGTCGACCCCAGGGCCATAGTGCGGTTGGAAGGATTAGGTAAATAAAAAATCCACCTCATCGGGACTCGAACCCGCGACCTTCCGGCTTGTAGCATAGTGGCTCAATCAACTATGTTACCGCGTATCCCAAGAAATGACAGTAAGAGATGCAAAATTGTAAAGAACGCGTTTGAATGATATTTATGTTGCTGATTGGAGTAGAGAGTCTACAGCCTAACCTTCCTGTGAAACTTCCTGTTCCTAGGGATGCGGGAAAACAACACAGCACTGCTGGCCTCCAGGCGTAGATGCAAGTCGCTTATTGGCTGCGGGTACTTTGTTGCACGCCACTTACTCGGCACATCTGAATTAACCTGGTTTCTTTTCCGCCGCGCTGCAATCAATAGTCAGAGCAAATGAAGCAACATTGTCCTACAAACACGTATCTTTTCACTCCAACCCACATTCCCCCAGCCGCTGAGGTCACGTGAGTTCACACGGGGTACATGTTTCTTGACCTTCCGGCACGGAAATTGAAACGAGTTCACTTGATAGAGCAAGTTAGCTCTACTTACTTACTCTGAGAGTTGGTATATTTTTTTCAGTCATAGACGATTCTAGAGTCGGTATAGCGACTAGCTACTGGCTCAACGGCCTAGGGGTCGAAGTAAGAGGGCCGCACCATAGCTCAAGCGGTTAGTCGCTGGCTTCCCACTGCGGCGGCCCGGGTTCGATCCCGCGTCTGGTCAAGTGGGATTTGTGGTGGACAAAGTGGCTGGGCCAGGTTTTCTCTGAGTACTTCGGTTTCCCCTGCTAATCTTCATTCCACCAATTGCTCCACAATCACCCTCACCTATCATCTGGGGCTGGTGCAATAGGCCAGTTGTGACCGCAGTACAAGGGACTTAGTCCCACCCCACTAGCAATAACAAAATAAATAATAGAGTCTCGGTGGGGTCAAGATATTTCACTTCTACATGTCCTTTAGACCGGCTCTGGGGTCCACCCAGCCTCCTATCCGATGGGTACTGGGATCTCTTTCCCCGGGGGTAGAGCGGCAGGGGGGTGAAGCTTACCACTCACCTCAAACCAGTGCCGAGGTCAAGAAAACGTGGGTTTATACATCCACTCCGCTCTACGACTTCATGGCATAATGTTTACTTAGTTAAGTACAGGGAAAACTTTTTTTTACCATACACGATTCTATGTCGGATTTAGAATGTTCTTAACAGCGCATATGCCGTGAATACGAGGTGTCGAATCGCCACACTTCGGATGAAAGCGCTCTACAACTGTCGGAAAGACAAGCAAGTTGTGAGGCACATATTTGCACATATATTACGGCGGAGAAAGCATAACATTTGACTCTGGGAGTGTTCTCTTTTGAGGACTTTGGACACTGCGCAATCATCGCCGCAGAAAGTTATGTTCAGTCTACGAACAAGCGGGGTGCTGCGTGCTCAATGCAGTCATTGCGACTTGCTGCAGTAACCAGTTGAGGCCCTGCATTCACATGTGTATGGGCTGAGGCAGAAAGGAGGGGAAATCAGAGGATATGAAGGCGAATGAGAAGATTAGGAAGAAGGAAGAGGCGGAAAGGCGAAAGAGAAAATAAATTAAGAAGGGAGACGCAGAAGAAACTGGAAAAATGAAGATAAGAATAAAAGGAGAATAAATAAAAAACAGAATGAAAATGAAATGAATTAAAAGGAAAGGGAAGAAGGTGGAAGTAAGCCGAAGAGGATGAAGGTGAAGAAGATAAGAAAGCAAAATTATTCTTCTTGCTTTTAATCTGGTGACCTGGGTCTGAAAATTGAAATCCATCTCTTGTACATACAGTATCTTTACGGAGAAAGCTATTTGATTCGCAAATGTTTGCTGAAGTGGAGAAAGATTAAAGTCATTACAGGATCTGGGGTCCGTTCCCACGGAGTTCTCTCTTCTGGGAGATAATGCCGTAAAGTCCGTTGAGAGTCAACTGACGCTTCAGAGGAACAGATTGCCTCCATCTTCAGGTTTGACATCTGCTTCATGTTTGTTTATTGCTTGGCCTACATTTCAACCCTGAAGATGGTGGCGACAAGTTCCTTGCGGGAACTGAAGTTCACTAAGACGAGTTTCAGTTATAATGGCTGGGTCAGAACCGACAGCCTCCTGGCACGAAATACGTACATTGCAACGCTTCGCACGCGGGAAGGGAATTCGGCAGAGAGTTTTCGGTGTAGAACCCACTCATCAGATTACTTGCAAGTCCGTAATAATTCGTAATGAACATGAACTAACCATCTTACATTTGCTTTAAGCACGGAATATAAATAATTCGTAAAATTACAAAGTTCCTATCCATATTTCACTTATGGATTTAAAACAAATTCACTGTCCGTGATAGAAGTTGTTAATGTAATATAGATTTCATAGCTGGCCCTTTAAGACCAGTGGTCACTATATTGTAGCATGTAGACCCGTTGCTAAGTAATGACTCTATAAACAACGCCCATTGCTAGGCAACGACAGCGCAACAAGAAAAATTACGACATCCATGGTTGAGTAATGGCTTCGCAAGCAAATGTGTTCCCACTGCAACGATTGAACTACAACATTAAGGAGCTGTGTTCTCTACGCGGTCCGTACCGAGGGGGCATAAGCGGGACAAGTTTAGGTTTTTGTCAGTTGTCAGAGATTCGCCAGCCAGTAAGGATGTAAGCAGAGGATAAAGTACAATTGCTGGTATTATAAGCCGTACAAAGTTCAAATTCTCATAAATGTAAGCAAACTTTTAGTTTCCGTTAAGGATGGCATTCAGTGTTATAAAAAAAAAAGTAAAGGTATCCTTGTAACAGGCCGTGGAGGCCCATAGGGTTGTGAGAGGTTGAGGTTCCCACATTTTCTAAGACAATCGGCTCACATATGGCGGTAAGTTTGTCAACCATAGCGGAATCCGTAGTCTAGAGGTAACGTTCCCACCTCATGACTCGTAGTGCGCGAGTTCAAATACCAGGCGGAGGTCGTCGAATTTTTAAGGGTGGAAAAATTCAGGGAACAAGTCCTCCGGGAGGGACTTTAAGCCGTGGGTCCCGTGTCGTAGCTTTACGGCACGTAAAAGAACCTCATATCTCCAAAAGAGGTCACTGAGCCAAATTAACGGACGTTTCCCGCCCAACAGCAGTCTCTAATACCTCTGGTAGATGGGGGAAGCATTATAGATACCTCTCAGCTAGTAGAGCCGGTCTCGCTGGCTGGGCGGGACTGATGGTAAGTACCAGTACCGGTAGGATATAGACTGGTAAAAATCATAGAGGGAAGCACAATGGACCAATACAGGTCTCAGTGCATGGGTAAACCCACCCTCTCCAATAACTAACTAACTAAGTATGTCAGCCTTACGACCCGGCCGCCCTTTACCCTCAGGAAGATTCCTAGTACTCATTTCTGTTAGAGGCTGAGTCGGCCCCAGGGCCATAGTGCTGCTGGAAGGATTAGGTCAATTGAAAAAATCCACCTCATCTGGATTCGAACCCCCGTCTTGTAGCATAGTGCCTGACCAAACTACGCTACCGCGTGCCCCGCTGTGTTATCAAAGAGTTAATAAATAATAATAAATTAAATTGGAAAAATCTTGAAGTGGTGTACGTGGCTGTAACATAAGGATCTTCCTGCCCTGCCCGAGCCAGACCCTTATAACCCAAGTGAGAACGCATCTCTACCATTACTGAGTAGAGCCCAGCTACTGCCGACTTTTCACTACTTGCCTGACACCTTAGAAATCGCAGAAAAACAGAGCTTCAATCAACTAGCACCAATATACTT